AGGGGTGGACTGAACGGTTAAAACCCCTTAATTATATGATGAATATTTCCAAATGTAATATTGGCTACGATAAGTTGAAAGATGAAGATTATTCAAATCCAAGGAAGGCCAAACGGTCTCATGTCATGTCTAGGACTTGATGTTGTTAGGACTAATGGCCTTACCCAATAAGGGCTGAATTGGATTCAGATTTAAACTTTGAACATTTCAAGATCAAATACCTTCCTCCAAATCTGAAGCTAAGCCTTCAATACAAATAGCAGCATAATAGAGGCCTAGTCAGATTATTCAAAATTGGAAATAAGTGAATGATCAATGTGATCAACTTATTGTTGACATATGTGTTGAATGGACTGAAAGTAGATTGTTTCATGGCCAAACCAACTAGAATAAATGGCCAAATTTTAAAAAATTTCAATCTGAACCCAAGAATCTGATTCTTGGAGTTTGGAGAATTGCATTCTCCTATGATCAATCTAGCACTGTTATGAACCAGAACTCAAACCCAAATCAGCCTCCCAACGAAAGATTGCATAGTTAAAGCTAGAAAGCCAGAGGTTGATCCTATAACTAGGTTTTAGTTGAATTTGGTCTCTAACAACCTTGGATGTATGCAGCTGTGATAACCACTTTAGTTATGATACTTAATTTTCAAAACATAGTAGAGAATGATGGAAGAATAATGTTCTGCTAGACTAGTTCAAATTAGACTTTATGGGTAGTAAGAAAGAAGAGAGAGAGTACAAGAGAGTAGCTAGAATAGTCTAGGTCAAACTCTCCCTCTTATCTCTCTATATAGACCCCATTCCTAATGCAATATGCATAAGGACTAATCCAAATCTGTTTTGGGATAGGTCTCTATTATATTATATAATATGGAGATCCAAATCCATATTTGATCCAAAAGTTGTCATGTGACTAGTCTATGGAATGGGACCCACAAATGTATCATATCATTCCCTATATGCTCAACCCATGTTTGGAAACACATGGACCGAATTTATTACAGAGGCAATGAATCCCTAAGCCAATCAAATTGGGCTCAATCTAGGCCCAACACTTAAGTTTAAGTGACCATTGGTTTCAACCACCCTATGAAGTCCAAGGATAATGGATTGCTATGAAATAAAGTCCATCAAGTTTCAGCCCTATAATGGTCTGTTGCTCTTAACCTTTCAGCCTTAACTACAAAATGTTGTTTTACACCCTCTATTTAGATGGATCTCAGGATTAAAACTTTTTGTGAATATTTTCCTTAAAATAATATTATAGATATAAATATATATTGCAAAGAAATTTCAAAAACATTTGGAATCCACTACTAGTAGTTTTAGATTTCTATCAAAAAATGTTAATTCAGATATTCACTTTGTTTAACAAAGGGGTCAATCCTAGAGATATTCTGACATATCCAAAAGTCAAAGCTTTCTCTCAAAGATATTTTCCTAGAGATTATTAATTCATTTATGTCAGATGAAAGGTTTCCCCTATTTTCTCCCAGTGCCAGACCCCTCTATCGTTCAAAACGTCCTTCACCATAATCGTGGGGTTAATCACATTAGGATTTAAGAAAATGTGGCATTCTCAAATATGCCAAGTTTAATTAGACATGAGGGTCTCCATGAGTTCAGCATTTCTACGCCAAGCTGAAGAGCCTATATAATCTTTACCAAGGTGCCAACTATTAATGAACTTGGACCAAAAATAATCCTACCAACAGCTCATTCTAAGTTAGAGCTCTCTAAAATGCTTTTAAACGAAAACTCTTGCCCATGTCATCTAGACATTTAAGTCCAAGCCCACCTTCCTCTAGAGTTTTGCACACTTCAACCCAAGCAACGCAATTATGTTTTTCAGTCTCATCAATTCCGACCCAAAGAAAGTGTTTGAATTGTTTTTCCATTCTCTTAATAATGCTTCATGGGAGATCAAAAGCCATCATCATATATAGTTGTATTGGACGAAGATAAGGCTCATCCTCATCCCGGATTTGTACAATTAGGATTTAGAAGTTTTAGAAGCTTTGTATTTCCTTTTGGATTAGGAGTTGGTTTTTAGAAAGTTTTGAGGAGCAAGAACTCCGATCGAATTTGTATATATATATACAATTCATGACAGGGAATTTAAATGTGCTCTGGGGCGTCACATCACATGACAGGGAATTTAAATGTGCTCGTCGACACTTATGATGTTGCACCTTGTCCTGTTAGGTTACCCAACGGTGCACACACCGAGGCCGTGAAAAAAGGCACCGTTGAACTTGGAAATAATTTTAAATTGTTGCACGTATTATATGTCCCAAAACTCAATTTAATTTATTGTCAATATGTCGGTTAATTTATGACACAGATTATATTGTGACATTTACTAATAAGTTGTGTGTGATACAGGACCGCATCTCAAGGACTCTGATTGGTGCAAGTGAACAACTTGATGGGGTCTATGTCTTCAAGGGTGTGCCACTGGTTTGAGCTTACAAGACAGATGGAATTGGGTCATGCGATTTGTGGCATCGGAGATTGTGACACCCTTCTTATCAAACGGTTAGCTTACTTCTTAATATCAGTAATAGTAAGAACAAAACTTGTGATGTTTGTTTGAAGGCAAAACAAACTAGAGATGTTATTATTCAAAGCAGCAATAAGGTGACTGATTGTTTTGCATTAATTCATTGTGACTTATGGGGTGCTTATAGAGTACCTGCATCTTGTGGTGCGGTATATTTTCTGACAATTGTTGATGATTATTCTCGAGCGGTTTGGATTTATTTGCTGGCTGAAAAAAGTGAAGTTGGTAGAACACTCAAAAATTTATGTGTCATGATTGAACGACAATTTAATAAGAAGGTTAAGGTGGTAAGAAGTGTTAATGGAACAGAGTTTAAATCCTTGAAGTCATATTTTGACGAGTAAGGAATTTTATTTCAAACTTCCTGCGTTGGGACACCACAACAAAATGGTCGTGTGGAGAGAGCATCATCATATTTTGAATGTGTCCAGAGCATTCAGGTTTCAAGCACATCTTTCGATCAATTTCTGGGGTGAGTGTGTTTTGACCGCAAGATATTTGATTAACCGAACACCTTCGACTCTTCTTGGTGGTAAAACACCTTATGAGATGCTATTTGGACAAAGTCCTTCTTATAAACATCTTAGAGTTTTTGGTTGCTTATGTTTCTCGCATACTCGGGACCGTGACAAGTTTGCTGCTAGGAGTAGGAAATGTGTCTTTATTGGGTACCCTTTTGAGAAAAGGGGGTGGAAATTGTACGACCTTGAGTCTGGTGATTACTTCGTCTCACGAGACGTGGTGTTTAGTGAGGTTGAGTTTCCCTTTGCCACTCCGACACATCAACCCTTTGTAACCAGTCCTCCCATAGCCAAAGAAAATATTGGGTTGCCCTGAGCCACTCCTCCTGACATGGTATCTGAGTCACCTCATATAGAAGTCAGGGGAAGCGACACGATCGATGAAGAAGGACATCCGAACACGGGTAATGATGAAGAGGCAAGTCCTATTAATGAGACAAGGAGCCATACAGATTACAAAGATAATGAAACTCCAGCTGCTCCTCAGCCCACCACGGAGGTATTAGGCCGCGGACATCGAGAAAAGCGGACCCCCAGCTATTTACAGGACTTTGTCACACACTCAGCTCGTCGCTTAAACCCCTTCGCTGTTTCTCCTACATCATCTCAGTCCTCAGGTACTCCTTATCCCATAACTCATTATATGACGTATGATAATTTTTCTATGAAGCATAGACATTTCTTGGCAGCTATTAGTGCAGGCCGAGAACCTACTCGTTTCTCTGAAGCAATGACTGATGCTCGGTGACGCGAGGCTATGCGCCAAGAGATATAGGCTTTGGAAGACAATGGGACATAGACCTTGGAAGGCCTCCCACCTGGAAAAAAGGCAATCGGGTGTAAATGGGTCTATAGAATCAAGTACAACTCTGATGGGTCCATTGAAAAATTAAAGCATGGTTGGTAGTCCTGGGCAACACTCAAGTTGAAGGTCTTGATTACAACGAGACATTTGCCCCTGTGGCTAAAATGGTCACAGTTCGAACCTTCTTAGCAGTTGTTGCGGCCCAACATTGGGAATTGCATCAGATGGATGTCCACAATGCTTTTCTACACGGTGATCTCCATGAGGAGGTCTCTATGAAACCTCCTCCAGGTTTTTCGGCCTCCGGGACTGCAAAGGTATGCAAACTCCGGAAATCTTTGTATAGTCTGCGACAAGCCCCCCAAAACTGGTTCTCTAAGTTAGGTGATGCCTTGAAAACTTTTGGGTTTGCACAGTCCTATTTCGATTATTCCTTATTTACATATCGCAAGAATGGGGTTGTCTTGCACGTCCTGATTTATGTTGATGAATTAATCGTTGGTGGGAATAACCCAGAGTTCATACGCAAATTTAAACAGTATATGAACCGGTGTTTTCACATGAAAGACTTGGGTGTTCTTAAATATTTTTTGGGCATTGAAGTGACTCACGGATCATCGGGGATATATCTTTGCCAAAGAAAATATGCACTTGATATTATTACAGAAGTTGGCTTATTGGGATCCAAACCTGCTCACTTTCCTATTACTCAGAATCATAAACTTGCCCTTGCTGACGGAGCACTCCTGGTTGACCCTGAACGATATCATCTTGTGGGCTGTTTGATTTACTTAACCATTACACGGCTAGAGCTCAGTTATTGCATCCATGTCCTGGCTCAATTTATGCAGTGTCCTCGTGTTGATCATTGGGATGTGGCATTACATGTGGTTCGTTATCTGAAAGGACGTCCTGGTCAAGGAATATTTTTGTGCTCTGATAGTGATTTGCAATTGTATGCCTATTGTGATTCCGATTGGGCAAGTTGTCCTCTAACTCGTCGCTCTTACTGGGTATTTTGTCATGTTCGGACATTCCCCCATCTCTTGGAAGACTAAGAAACAACATATTGTCTCTCGTTCCCCTACCGAGGCTGAATACCGATCATGGCTACTGCCACTTGTGAGTTGAAGTGGCTAAAAGGTCTGCTGTCATCTTTGGGTATATCTCATCCTCAACCTATACGCTTGTTTTGTGACAATCAAGTTGCTCTGCACATTGCTGCAAACCCTATCTTCCATGAGCGACCAAACATATTGAAGTTGATTGTCATTTCATTCGCAATGAGCTCCAAGCCGGCACCATTGCGCCTTCCTATGTCCGTACCGGTGAACAAGTTGCCGACATTTTCACAAAGGCTCTTGGACAAAAACAGTTTGATTTTTTCCTTCCCAAGCTGGGCATTCGCAATCCTCATGCACCACCTTGAGGAGCAAGAACTCCGATCGAATTTGTATATATATATATATCATAAGATATCAATGGAAAGGCAGGATCTTGGGGCTTCCGAAATTTTTCAAGTTGCATAGAAATACATGGCAAAGTAAAACAATATGACCACCTTAAGAAAGTAATTACCTTTCCGCGATTTCATCTTTGATGTGATTTTCCACAAGAGCTCATAAATATATATTGTCAGCTTTCCTTTTGTGAATGGGAACACCTAAGTACTTGCAACGTAAGGATTGTTTTCTAAAACCAAATGCAACTTGGAGAATGTTCACTCTAGTAGGGGAGACCTTTGCCGAAGTGTAAAAGCAACTTTTGCTTTCTATTAATTTCCATCAACTTTTGGATAGCAACACGAGACCCACTATTAAAGATAATTTCATCATTGGCATATAAGCAGTGAGAGATAGGTGGACAAGCCCTTAGGGCATGATAGTACATCTCTGGGTTATCAGAACAGAGTTTAGATAACTCACGATTAAGAACTTTCTTAGCAATTACAAATAGATAGGGGGAAAGATGATCACCTTGCCAGAGACCTTTCGAGGACTTGAAATAGCCATAAAGGCTTTAGAGAGAACCAGCAATTACATACAACTTTGTGATTTTTTAAGAGTAAATAGAAAAAAATTATTAAAACAAAAAAAAGGTGAAGAAAAGAAAGAGCAATACAATCCGAGTCAAGGACCGAGGCCCTGAAAGAGCACAAGGGGCAAAACAAAACTAACTTCCAAGATACAACAACAAACCCTGAAACAAACTTGCCAAAATTGAAGCCCAAAAAAAAAAACAAAAGCCAAACTTAAAAGAACAAACAAACTTGGACCACCCTCAACAAGCTTCAAAAGACCCAAGGCTCGAAGAGCAGATTATGCTGATACCCTGGCTAGGGGTGAGCAAATGGGTATGCAACGTGGAACCGACCTCAAACTGGCCTTGAACCAACCCTAACCAATTTGTAATAGGGTAGTGTCTAGTTCCAAATTCTTGGAACCGACCCCCACCAAGTCTAGTTCCAGGGCCTATGGGTTTACCCTACCTAAACTGACCCAATGAACTAGCCTTGGTTGGCCTTGGTGGAACCAACCTTAGTGGATCCTACATTAGAACTGCACTTGTCTTGAAATAAAACCCAAAATACTTTTGAAATTTTGAAGATTTGAAGCCAAGTACTCATGATTACAAAGGTCATGGTCTCACTACCATTGAGTTACTTGAGTGGTTTGATCATTTGTTTTCATTTTAATATTTGAATGAATACAATAAGTAATGTAATATGTAATATTTATAAAGTTTAAATTTAAATTATAAACTGTATAATCATAATCTACATATTAAATTATTCAATGAGATAAAACAAGTTTTAAACTATATATTACATTTATTGAAATCAAGTTTTTAAAGAACATGGTTCTTATTTTCTTGAATGGGGATAATAAAGAAAGAACAGGTTCCACAGGTAAAACTTGGAACCGACCACAGAATTGCCAAGGTCAAAACAACCTTGGAACCGACTTTCACTTCCATGCAACCAAACTGAACCGACCCATGCTCACCCCTATACCCTGCCTCGTCCACCTCTACCTATACCCCTAACCGCCTTTCCCCCACTTCTATCTGCTTTAACTAAGGCATCCACATAAAAATCAATAAGCCTCCTCAGTTTTCTGCTTCCAGGTACACCCCCAAACCTAAAAGCCTTGTCAGCTTCACCCAAGGAATCATTGTATACTAAGAACTCTTTCTCGTCATTGTCAACCCTTCTTTTGGCTCGTGCCTCTTCAGCTTCTTCTTTGAACCTTTGAAACATTTCTCTTGCGAAATCTTCACACCCCAAAAGTGCAACCCCATTGATTTCACCACTTGAAAATTCCTCTCTACAAAAGAGTCCCTTGTCTACTACACATTTCCTCCCTCGGACTCCCCTCCTCTCCCTTCTTCCCGCCAACAATGAAGTAATGGCTTCTAACTCACCTTCTTCCAGGAGCGGAGGCTAGATGCCCTTCAGCTCCTGAACACCCAATCTTCTCCCTCACCCAGCAACTAGAGGGTAGATGGGGGCCCATATCTAACTCGAAGATAAACCTCAACCGAATCTGACCCGGGAATCTCTACTGCTTGTTGCCCACTCTCAGAAGCATTGGATGCCAAGATTGAGTTTGAATTTAAAATTTCAAGCCCATTTGAGTCTACATTGGGCCTCACCTGAGCCTTCCCTTCTTGCGGAGGCAATAGAAACGGAGACCTGAGCGTCACCATCTCCGATGTCTTCTCCAATTCAACTTCATTGCCCCCTGAGCCCTCCTTCATCGGTCTTTTTCTTGCGAGCTTAACCCGACATCGTTGCTTCTTCCTGAAAGTCGCAAAGTCTCTCTGTGTCTCCACCTTCTTCTTGCAACCAGGCACCTCTGTAAACCACACTCTCTCTCTCTCTCTCTCTCTCTCTCTAACCCCTGAACCTCCCACTCTTCTTCTCAGACCTGCATCTGAACTCTGTGTCATCGCTTGACCTTCTTCAAAAAAACTCAACAACACCATTTAACAGTGATACCAGAACAAGGTCTCTACAACTGCAACCAAGCACCTCTATATCATCTCAACCTAGATGGTAAACTCTAATCTGTCATATGATTTTAGTATGTCAAGCTTAATTACAACATCCTCGCATTCCTGTCAATTTCCTGTACTAGTTCCTTCACGAAGTCTACATTATCCATAATATTTTGGCCCTTGATAAAAGCGGCTAACTAAGCAGAAATACTTTTATGTAGAACACTAGCTAGCCTGTCAACAAGAATTCTCAGTATAATTTTATAAGAGAAGTTGCATACACTAATAGGGTGGTAATCTGAAAATGACAATGGAGTCTAACCTTTTGGAACCAAAGAGATGTAGGCCGAAGTGTAATTGAGAGGAAGATCACACCTTGGAAAAAAATCCTGGACTACATCGACAGCATCCTCCTTCAAATGTCCCAACAATGGCTGTAGAAATATCCAGTGAACCTGTCTAGTCCCAAAGCATTATCTTCAGAAAGTGCAAAGACTACATCCCTAATTTCCTCAGTTGAGGGGATAGTCACTAGATTTTTAGTGTCAACAGAAGAGATTACTATCGAAATAACATCAAGAAAGCTAGTGCCCAATCTAAATTGTTCAACCAAGAGAGTTCTATCAGAAAAATGGATACCCTCATGAATAATTTGGGGGGTATCAGAGATTATTGAACCATCATCCAGAATCATTCTTTATAGTGTGGAATAACATCCATTTAATTTATAGCATGGAAAGACTTTGTGTTCCTGTCTCCCTCTACAAGCCACTCCACCCTGGATGTTTGTCTCCAATATATTTCACCCTGTAGAAATCAATGATGTAAATTCTACTTGGCATTATGAAGCTCAGCATGGCTATCTTCAGTTTCGGCTGGGAATACTCAACTATTTTTTATGAAGTACCTTGTCTTCGGTTAGTTTAACGTTCTTTAATAGTAGATAAAAAAGTATTATGGCTTAACCGCATCTATTGAAAACAAAACACAGTTGGGTGATCCCTGTTGGGTGATCCCTCTCAACCATTGCACCAGGTGTACATATTACCAGAGAAGACCAAATCATGAAGACCAACAGAAAATACAAAGTCCTGATACTCCCTCATAGACCGGGAATTTGGCTGGATACCCCCAAGCTTTTCCTCTTCACTAAGTAGCATTAAAACCTCCCAAAAGCAACAATGAAGATCAACCAATATCCAAGCCCATATCAAATTCAACCAATATATTGTCTAGGCAAACTAGTCATGTGACTAATCACAATAGTCTTTAATGTGAATTGTACCACTCACTCAAGTCATTTAAAATGAGATGTTTAGCTAGCCTCAAACATGAATATCGTATGAGATCTACTAACTCCTCATACTAATGTATATGGTTTTGGCCCAAGTAGAGAACCATATGGACAAAATTCACTAGATGCACATAATGAAATTCTCACCCAATCTTATTAGGCCTAACACTTAAGCATAAGTGGGTTTTAGTTTAAGACATCCTATAAATCCCAAATCCAATGAACTAATATGAGAAATATGTTCATCAGGTTTCAGCCCAAAAGAATTTTGCTTTTAACCGCTTAACCCATAATATCTATACACTATTCACAGGGAATGATCACTTTCCTGACTATGACATGCAGTGTCACACTCTCAAATGGATTCCGGGATTAAAGCCTTTTACAAACCTTGTTCGCAAAATAACTTATTTATAAATATAAATACATTTTTCAAACCGATTCCAGAATACATTGAAATCCACTAGCAATAGTTTTAGATTTTCATCAGAGAGAATATAAACATAGATATTTTCTTTGTCTAACAAAGTGGCTAATCCTATCACAATAATTACCCACTAAAGTGATATTCCAAAGTTTGGGGTTAAGTACAATTTTCCAATTTTACCCATCTATCTCTAAGGTCTAGGGCATAACTAAAAATGGTCCATGTTCAATGTTTCAATAAAGGCCCACTAATTTACCTTAAGTTTAAACATAATAGTTAAGGCAAATTGCGGCACCAATTAACCAATACACCACTGGTAGCTTTAGCATGATAAAATCCCCAAGTTTATCAAATGGCTGAGAACATTCTAAATTAACACAAGTCTTATAATTATTCAGTTTAAGGGTTAATACAAAGAAATATGCCAAACACACATGAAATAATACATCAATCTAATTGGATTTCAAGGCTTAAGTTGCCTAATAGGACCCTTATGGAGGATTCATGTGACACCACAACTAGAAAATTCAACTATCCAAAATAGGAAGTTATACATAACATTCTCTGTCTTAACATAATAGAAGATCTTACCACATTGATCAATATCTGGCATACAATCCTTAAATAACCCAATATACAACATATTTGATCTTAAAAGGATCTCACTAGTTGGCATATCAAAAATAGATAAGTTTCATACATAGCCTAACACCAATATTAAGTCTAGGATTAG